TCATCAAACACTTTCCCCAGAAGGGCAGTCCTTTAGAACCCCTTTACTTTCCTTTTCTTCCCTGGAGTGAGCACTCTGGACTGGCTCTATTAACCCAAGCCCCACTGGAGAACCTGAGAATTCAACTCCTAGGGAATGCAGAGAGAGAAGAGTACTCGTAGTTGAAGATGACATCAGACTGTTCCTTGCAGGATATGTAGTCTATTTCAAGATTCCTTATTTACTATTTAGGTCAGATGTCAAAAAACTATAGCTAGAGGGCCAAATTCTGTCCACTGTTTCTGTATGGCCTTTAGCTAAGAATGGTTTTTACATTTTCCAGTGGGTTGAAAAATATCAAAAGACAAAAAGTATTTCTTGATGGATGAAAATTAAAAGTAATTCAAATATCAGTGTTCATAAGTAAAGTTTATTGGCATTTAGCCATGCTGACTCATTTCCATCTTGCCCACAGCAGTAGAGTTGAGCAGTTACAATAGAGACCTATGAGATACCAGGCACACAACAAATCACAGTACCCCAGGGAAAGCTCCATAGCATCTCACCCAACCACTCGTTTTAGTTATTTACTTGAATTATCGGTGCACATTCATCAGTGCATATTCAAAACAGAAAAAATGGACTTTGAATGTCACCCTTCTAAGGCCCAGTGGGGTGTGGATATTATTTTATTGAATTACATGGTGAAGTATTGTGTTTGTTATTGGCTCTGCTGACAAAATACAGTATACACTGGGATCATACACATTTCCAGCTTGCAGAAAAACAATGATCAGTAAAGTGAGAAAATTTCAAATGGTATATCTCATCACAGCAGAATTTCTTCACAAAAATAAAAAATGAAAATGAGGCTACAACTAAAGTCAGTTCCTAAGTGACTCATTTCTTGCTGAGCAAGGAAAGCCACTTCCAGGGGTGAGTTAAGTATGTTGTATTCTATTGCAGCAACTCAGAAAAAGAATCCAGAGAAAACTAGCTTATAAGATGATTGCTGGAATGTGGCTTGTGGGCCAGAGTCACTCTAGGTGACACCAATGAGTTAAGTAAGTCACATGTGTGAGGGAGTCTGATGTGGTCCAGTGAGAGTGAGTGAAGCCTAGTGTGGGAAGAGAGAAAGCTGGGGAGGGCTGAAGGCTGGCCTCTGCAATGTGCCATGCATGGTCCTCAGCATTTCCTTGTTATGTCCCTCAGTTATTTTCTTTCTAGCACTTACTACTATCTCAAAGTGTCTAATTTACTGTTCTTTGTCAGTCTCTCTTGTGAGGACAAGAACTTTGTCCATCTTGTTCTATCCCCAGTGCTTGACACACATGGGAACTCAGTAAACATCTGAACATATGAATGAATATCTTTTAGGTGATGGGCTCAGAAGGCTCGTCTACCTAAGTCCTCCCAGATGGAAAGTATCCATTAAACACCTATCTATGAAGAACTGGGCCTTCCTTCTCCATGAATGGAGGACATCTTGGAGGACTAAGCTGAGCTCCCAGAAAGCTGACTGTGTCTGCAGAGCAGACACAAAGAGCTGGCCCAGCATCACAAAGCAAAGGCTAGGAGTTGGCTCCCCAAAGTGGTGATCTGTCCTAGAAGATTAAATTTAACCCTTTCAAGATGTCTTGGCCTCTTGGAGACATGCCCAGGACATGGGGAGGTAGCTGTGATATGTCTAGGAAATTTTGTAGGCAGGTAAGCATGGCTGGGGAAAGATCAGCATGGGGTTCTTCCTGCCCTAGACCACTACACCTATAGGCCAGACTGACTCTTAACTCCCTTGCCAAACATGCCACTTCCACAAGCCATGAGTGGATCCTGAACAGGCTGGAGAACTGGTCTCTGTGCTTCGAAGAGGAATAATAATGTCCTGGGTAAGGAGTGAAATACCATTCTGGCCCCAAGCTCTAGGATTTATTATTCTGACCCCAAGAGCTTAAAAATTAATAATTATGAAAACAGCAAACAACAGAGTTAGGAGCCAAGCACTGATCTCGGGCCCTCACATGTACTTCTCCATCTCGTCTCCATTGACCTCACAGGGCAGCACTGTGATATCCCTCAGGTGCAGGGAGGTCTCATAACTACCCCATTTTATACTAGGAGGTGGTGAAGGTGGAACCAAAGCTCAGGTGTGCCAGGCCCTAGGCCTGCACATCTGACCATTCTGCCTCACAGCCCACATTGTGGCCAACCAAGCAATTTGAAAAATCTCTGGGCACTCTGGGTCCTGCTTAAAGCAAACAGGGCTACCCCTCAGAAACAGCCCAGCCTTCTGGCTGCACTTGCACTAGAGCTGACTCATATGTGACACTCTGTGTTATGGTGCCTCCTTCAAAACAATCTGATGAGGTGAACAGTTTGCCCTGAATGAATGAGGATGCTGAGATAAAGCAGCAGTCCCAGGTATGCAATGTTGCATGGCACAGTCAGAGTTTGAGCCCTATCCATCTGATCCCCAAGTTCAATGCCTTACCAACCTTACCAGGAAGAAAATTCTCCCACCAAGGACATTCCAGCTTGAGTCATTTCAGTAGTGTGTTTACTTGCTGCTCACAAACCCATGCTCCTGTCCTTACAGGAGGTGACTGCCACCCCATCACTGACAGGCTTGTATGGGGGCAATTAGATCCATGAACACACTAACTGGGGCACTACTCCATGGTAGATATTTCACCACAAAATAATTATACTCCATAATGTTCCTAATAAATCAAGCTAGACAAATGAGTGATGTGTGCTTTATCACCTTCATCTTAAACCAGCGTCTTGCGGCTGGCCTAGGGCTGACGGTCAGCCTTCAACACTTCATAGTGACCCCAGGAACTTAGGCATATGCCACTGCTCTGCAGGTGAAAAAAAATCAATGTTCACAGAGGACCATCCCTTTCTCAGAGAACAGCAGGGTGGGATCCCAACTCCGGGACCCACACATACGGTGACCAAACTGTGCTTGGCTGAGCTAGAGGGCTGTGCTCATGGAGCTGGGAATCTGGAGTTTTGGACCTGTAACCAGGTAAGGAAGGGGCTGCATCTCATTTCTCCATCAGAAAGCACATTAGGTGCAGGTGTAGGAGAGAAAGAGGGACAGGGCCTGAGTAACTAGGAAGCATTCTGAGATGCGGGGAGGGGAATGGTTCTGCAGTGACAGAGAGCTCCAGAGGAGAAAACCTGGGGATCTGGAAGAAGTGAGTGAGATGAGAGGGTGGTAGGTAATGGTAACCCCAACACTGTCTAATACCCAAGGGCACCTTCTCCTGAGCGCCTGCCCAGTATGGGTCTGACATAGCACTGGAGCCTGTGTTGATGTGAGTTGTGCTGAGGTCACAGAGGTGACCTTATCCTGCTGTCTAGGGAACAGAACTGTAGGGCCTGCTAAGAGCCTCAGGGTGTTACCATAGACAGTCAGTCAGAAGAGCAAACCAAGTGAGAAAGTGGAGGGGAGGAGGGGCTGTGGGCAGGCGTGCTTGGATCTACGGGTGCCCTGCAGCCTCCAACTGGCTCTCCCAGATGTGCAGGCACCATGTTGAGTATAAAGAAGGTGGGCTGAGGGCCATGGCACCTCCAGGCTTCCTGATGATGGGCCCTGCAGCCCTCCCTCCCAACTGACCCTGATACTGTAGACAGGGAACGCCAGGGAGTCTCCTCCATTGGCTAAGATGGTGCAGGGGAAGGTACCTACACTAAGTGAGCCATGATCTAGAGAGAGGAATGGATAGGGCCCAACCATTCAAAAAAACTAGCAAGATAATTGGATAGGAAGAAAAAAGCCCTCCTTTTCTTATCCCTATAAGAATTGCAGGCTTGGGCAGGAAGATGAAATGGTCTTTGAGATGTGACTCATCATTCTTCCAGGTTGTGGCATCTGAATAGAAACCTTTTTCCTTTTGCATCAGCACTTGTCTTATGAGTTTGGTTTTCATGGTAGCAGGCAGCCAAATCCACCTGTTCAGTTATAAGGGCATACCGCAACAGGACACTGAGCTCCCCAACAGTGGGGTCTCGACACTGCCAAGCTCAATCAGCTAAACACACAGCCATCCCTTACCGGCACAGACCCACACCCAGGTAATGAGCCCCAAGGACAGTGAGGTTTGCACATTTGTCCATCCATTCATGTGAGGTCCAGTAGGCATGGATTCCCACTCAGATCTGCAGGGGTGGATGTTGGGGGTGAGCAGATCCACCCAATGGGAGGAGGGGATTCCATGACTTTGGGACCCTGGGTAGGCTCTCCCAGGCCTCCATATCTATCCACCCTAATGACAGGCCTATAAACTAGACTTGCTTACCCACACACATAAGACCTGCCTCCAGTGATAACAGGTACCCCAGAAAACCAGCAGCATGGACCCTTCCTCTCTGTTATCTTCCTGCACCTTCCTACCTCTTGTTCTCTGGCACCTCCTGCTACCATTAGTCCCCTACTGCCCCACCCCACCCCACCCCACCCCACAGGCTGAGGACGGACTTGGCCCAGTCTGGCCTGCATGACCAGCCATGATTCCTCCCTTGACATGACTGGCTTAGGGAAGACATGGAAGCCACCCTCTCTGATGAGACTCATCCCCCAATTGAGAGCCAGGGCCTGGCATCAGAATGATGGGGAAGGGTCTAGCCTCCCACCTAAAGCTCAAGAAGGCCACTGACACTGCTGGTTGCTGGCCTAGGTGAAGCACTGTTGTCTGAAATTGGCTTGTGTGAGAGCCAGGCCTGCTCTACCCTATGTGGGCACGTCTACTACCAAAGGAAGAGGGGAGCCAGAGCAGCTGAACTGTGATGGGTATGTTGGGCTCCCCTGATGGGTTTAGGCCCCGGCACAATTAATGGGCTGAGAGAATCTGGGCTACTTGACCACTGAAGGCCTCAGTTTCCTTGTCAAAAAAGTACATAAGTTGTAATCAGAAAGTCTCTGAAGCCTTCCTGGCTCTCATCACAGATGCCAAACTGTGTCCATCCCAGCCACCAGAGCCAGACAGAAGGGCAATGTGTAGGGCGGAGCTGCTTACCCGCTCCACAAGGCCATGCTTGTGCTTCAACTTGTACACTCTCAGCCTGGGCAAGAGGCTGTCGGGATAGTTCTTGTCCTCCAACCCATGCAGCAGGATGCCGTGGAAGGCCAGCCGGCACATGTTGGCATGAATGTCTGAATCTAGCCTGGAACCAATCACCAAGCACAGCCGAGGGCAGGTGACAGGCTTCTCAAACTCTACGAGGGCCCATTGCTGCCGGGGATACTGGCCTTCTGCGGCCTGGCCCACCTTCTCATTGGCCTGGCCACTGTTTGCTGCTGCTGCAACCAGATCCTTGCAGAGGTACTGTTCCTGGAACAGGTATTCTTTAGAGAAGTCGAAGGTATCCAGCACAGGCTCGTGGTCAAAATTGTCAGGAGCAGGGCTGAAGAACATCAACCGGCCCATGACTGTCTCATGGCCCACTGTGATGTGGAACTTGGCCTTGGTCTGCAGGGGTGCCCGAAAATATGGGATCTTCTCCACGGAGATGAGGGCTGCATGGACAGTGTGCAGGGACTCAGGGGTACACACTAGGCCACGCTCCAGCTGCTTGGGATCAAACTGAGTGACACAGATGCCTATCCGGTCTCCCTGCATGGCTGAGGTGACAGGCATGTGGAACATCTGTATGGACTTGACCTTCTTCACAACCTGGTCAGGAGCAAAAGACAAAGGTCACAAAACCCATAAGCTTTGAGGTTGAGAGGAAGGGCTCCAGCTGGAGAAATCCCTGTCTCATGCCACCATGTGCCAGATAAGGGGAGCTCTGGGGTCAGATTCCCCTTGGACAGAGTAGACTTCACCCTGCAAATACAAGGCCCAGGTTCACAGGACATCCTAGTCCAGGATGTGAGCAGTGGTCACAGCAGCCAAATCCTGCACTACCTTAGTTTCCTGCCAACCTTCTAGTCCATGCTTCACCCCAAGCTCCATTCCCACACTTCTTTGCCTCAAGTCCTCTGTATAGGCTTGCCAATCCATGTAAAATTGCCCCTCAGTTCCTCAGCCTGCCAACCTATGCCCATCTGTCCTTGAAAGCCCAGGTCAAACACCACTGCTCTGGGATGTCTGCTCAGACTCCAGTGAGTAGGCTCTGTCTCTCTCTGTGGTCCTACCTCAGCCCCTCTGGATCACACTCAGCCTGCTGTGTTATCGCTGCTAAATCTGTACCCACCTGCCTGCTAGCTTGCAGGCTTCTCCAGGGCAGGGCCACTCATTATTCATCAATACACAGATCCTAGCTGTCTGCCAGGCACTGTTCTAAGGGTGCAAATAGAGTGAGGTCTGTTTCCAAATAGCTTAATAACCAGAAAAAAAGCAATAAAATTATAAACATATTAATATATCAACTAAGTTTATGTTAATACAAATAAAATACAAAATTTTATGTGTTTAAATATATGTAACTAACATATATATATGCGCATTATATATAACATGTGATAGAGAAGGCCTGGGATTGGGGGAGGGTCTGGCTTTTTTAGATCAGTGGTCAGGAAAAACCTCTGTAGAGGCAATGTCTGAACTAATATCTGATCATAGAAAGTAGCTGTGTGAAGGTCCAGAAAAAGTTCTAAATGGGAACCAATAAGTGCAAAGGCCTGAAAGAGGCTTGGTCAATTTGAGAAATAAACAAAGACCTGGGAGGGCTTCAGCAGAGAGGGGGCAGGGGAGGGCAGGCGGACAGGAAGTCACCCAGGAGTTTAGGCAAAGTTGATTTTATCTCTGCTTCTAAATCATTACAGCGACTCTACACCAGGCAGATTTCTGTACCCACGGTTTGTAAATCAGGAACAGACACGGAATAGGCTCTAACAAATGTTCATGGAATGAATGTTCCTACTAAGAACCGTTGTCTTAGAGGTGAGATGAAATAATGTTCAGGGATTTCTGCTGAGATTGAGCAAAGCAGAGAAATGTGTAATATATTTCAGAAAACCTGCCATCAAAAATGGTTAAAAAGACATTTTTGACCTTCAGGTCACAAACATCTCTGTCTACAAAGTGGGGTATATGGAACATTCATTTTCTCCCTGGATAAAAGGAGAATGCTGTTCTAACATTAGACCCAAGTCTCTTTCTGGAGAGCCATAGTACTCAGGTGTTTGTTTAAAGATCATTAACTGCCTAACCAAGAGGTCAGGGGGCAAAGAAAGCAAGAAGCACAGTGTCAAAAGCTACAGCCAGGATCAATCAAAGACATAAAACATCTCTGAAATGGTCTATAAAGGCAACGGGAAACTTAGATTTTTAGGAATGTATCTCAGAATAACTGGAGAATACCGAGTATTATCTTACACTAAGTGTCTGCCCAGTGAGGTAGAACCTGATTATAACTCTTCTCCTAAGACCCTCAGCAGCCCAGTTAGCTGTTCTCTGGCCCAGAATCCTACACTCTCTCCTCTGGGCCAGCTTTCTAAAACACAGATCTGATGATGCAATCCTTTGGCCCCAACACGTACATGGGCTCCTATCTTCTACATGATGACTTTGAAACCTTTGGGTGTAGCTATCGTGAACAGGATGTTTTGGTTGATGACTGAACTTCTCTGGGGAAACAGTTACTCTGAGTGATGCTGCTCAGGTTGGGTGGGGGCTGCCACAGCCCCCAGCATCCTCTCTGCTTGCCAGGCTCTTCTGCCTTCACAGGAACCTCCCACCACCAGGCCCTCCTTATAGCTCTTCCTGCCCCTTGTTCTCCCAACCCTTTAACCACAGACAATGGAAACTGGATTCACTGCACACACCATGGTTCTGTATGTCTCTGCCCTGGGTCCATGAGGCTCCTTCCCCCAGGACTTCTTCCACTTGGAAAATTCTTGTTCATCCCTAAAACCCCAGTCTCAGGACACCTTCCGGGAGGGCTTTCCTGCCCCCTGTGGACAGAGATGCTTACTATCCTCTGTGACTTTGATCCTGACTTATTATTGCTGGTTGATGGCCCTGTCAGCCCCATCTCCATGTACTTACTGATTTAAATGACAATATAATAAAAATCCACAACCCATGATCCACCTAAGACTCAACATTACCAACAACTCTATATCCTCATGTGCTTCCACCCCACCTGGCTCTCCCACTTGCCTCAGATGGAGATAATCACTCCACTGGATTTGGTGTGTTGCATTCCCTTTCATTTTATATACACATGTATACGGTTGTATAGAGGCTGACTACATACGTAGGATATATGCCTAGCCAATAATCTGCTTTGTTTTGTGAGTTGTTGAACTTTGACTTAGTGCATGTGTTGGCAGTACCTGTGGCTCTCTCACTGCTACTGTGGTATATCAGGTGTGGTATGCAGAGAACATGACCCAGTCTCCTATAGATGACCACTTGGGCCATTTCCAGTTCTTTACTGGAAAATGCTATGATGAATTCCTTCTCACACAAGAATCCTGCCTGGTGCGAGAAGGGGTTCTGGAGAACACAGGTCAGGGACTAAACTGCTGGATGCCAAGGGGAACAAGTGTCCACCTCTGCTAGATAATGTGCCAATATACCTTCTACCAGCAGGGCCAGAGACATGTGATGAACATACATCTTCTCCAACATTTGACAGTGTCTGATTTTTTAATTTTTGCCTATCAAATTTGTATCATCTTCCCTTCTAAATACTTAAAACAGGGGCCATGATCTACATATTGCTGCATCCTCAGTGCCAAGCTCAGGAGGCTGCTGAAAAATCCAGTACATCTGAAGAGAAAGATTACATCTAATTCTGGAGGAGATATTCCCCTCATGGCAAAAACACACCAAGCAGAACACTGAGCTGAGACTGCAGACCTGCTGGGGTCTGAGAAACACTGTGAGAGAAGGCAGCCAGAGCCTGACAGCCTCCCTGCCACCCATCAAGTCAACCACCAAGCAAGCAGGCTTTATTCAAATCATATTCTCTTTTCAAGAGGGTTTGTGTTCTTAGGGATGAAATAATAAAGAATGCCTTAAGAGGGCACTGTGCAGAGCAGAAAGGCTATCATTCATTGTGCAAAATCAAGATTTGAAGGGCCTAGACAGGAAATTGTGAAATAAAGATGGGGACAGATGATGTGGCACTACTGTGGGCTCTCACAGGGTACATACAGACAGCATTGACACATGGAGTCATTCAACCAAGATACATGTCAAGGATACAAAATTCCATCAAGGACATCAAAAACATAGAAAAGTAAGCCAAAGAGGATAGGATCGAGGGTGGGAGGTGGGGATGGGCGAGAAGTGGGGGAGTGGTAGGGAGAAAATGGAGACAACGGTACTTGAACAACAATAAAAAATATATATAGAAAAGTAGATAGCTTTACCAACTTAAGAATGGGGAAAACAGGCTTTCCTTTCAGTCATTTATTTTCTACCCATCTCTTCACCAACTAACTAACCAAATACAGGAGAGGGCAAAAGTAGGTTTACAGTTGTAATATAAATGAATAATATAATAATTAACAAATAATAGAAGAATAAACTATGCTTCATATATGCAAAACTGCTTTTGCCCACCCCTGTATTTACTAATATCTGTGTCAAGTGGCTGGGACACTGTATATGCATCCACTCAACACATACTTATTAAGTTTGTCTCAAGTACCAGGCCATGGAATGATACGGGGGTGAACAGAAAAGACACAGTTTGGGTCCTTTGCTTGGGGGAAGGTAGAAGCAGGCATTAATTAAATCATCAACTAATAAATTCAGAATTAAAAACCATGGAGAGATGCTGTTAGAGAAAATAACTGGAGGATCTATTGTATTTTGCTGGTATAATGGCACAGTTTTTTGACCAGATTTTTGAGGGAAAAATAAGAATGTGCATTATACATGGGCAGTACTAATTGTGTATCTATATAAATGTTTTTAATTATTTTATTTATGCTTATGCGTTAAAAGTATAATTCTAGAAAGCAGTAAATGATATCTGTATGCAAAATAATACCCTGGAATACAATAATTCATTTTATTTCTAAATATAAATATATGAAAAATTGAATTAAAAATTAAAACTGAAGATTTTTCCCCTGAAAGTTAGGACTAAAAACGTGGGTGTGTAGTATACACAGGAGCGCAAGGTTCATGGCAAAATATGGTAATTCTTCATGGGTGGCCACGGGGGGCTTCCCTGAGAAGGTGGCATTGAAGCTGATCAGCTGGATGGGAAGGAACCGCCCACAGGAACTCCAGGCAGAGGAAAGGGCAGAGTGGGCTGATGCTTCTGAGGTGGAAAAGAATGTGGCTTAAGGCTGGAAGACAGTGAAGCTGGCTGAGGAGAGTAGAGTTAGGTTGGACATACAGGCCAGCCACCTTCGCCTTGTGAAGGATAACAGAAAGTCACCAGTGGTAGAAGGCTGAGCAGAGGAATGACACCTTTTATTTTATTTTTCCCAAGTTTTGTAATTTTTATTTACTTTGTTTTTAATTATATTTTACTGATTACATTATTATAGTTGTCCTGATTTTTCCTCCTTTGTACCCCTCTACCCAGTACCCCCCACTTTCTCAGGCCATCCCCCCACCATTGTTCATGTCCATGGCTCATGGGTATAAGTTATCTTTGGCTATTCCATTTCCTATAATGTACTTTACATCCCCATGGGTATTATGTAACTATCTATTTGTTCTTCTTAATCTCCTTACCTCTTTGTCCATCCTCCTCCAGC